GAACATAAACTAACACCAATGCCACGAAAACTGGTGTTCTGGAGGTGCTCAAACATCCGTGTCACAATCCCCGAGTTGGCATAGGTGAAGTTGTCCATTGTGAAGTTCTCTCCTTCAGGAAGACCACTTTCCTCTGCAGCTTCTCCGTTCAGAAAATCATCAGCGAGATCTGTAAGGTGTGGTTTCGTTTAAAAAAATTGTGACCCTTGTTTTGACAAAATATTATTGCAATGTGCCTACATCAGGGCATCGCTTACAAGAAGTGTCACAGATAGCTAACCGCATAGTATATCTTCACATCTACTGAGATAGCTGTCATTGTATCAGTGAATATATTATCATAGGTGATAGTGTCGTGCAGTTATCTGTGGCTACCCCCACCAGTAATACACAAATAAACATGTGTATTATTCATGGTGACCACTCGTTGTGTTTTGGTTAACATCACATCTTGAAGATTCAGTCATTATGAAACTACTGTATAATAATTGTACCTGTTACAGTTTTATTCAGAGCATAGGCAAATGTTAAAGTAGCTTCATGGCAATGGTAAGCATATGGGAAAATATAATCGCTGTACTCCATCAGTCCATTGTTTTTATTGTAGTCGCTCTGGACAGCTTTGTAGTAGAGAGACCTGAACTCACGAAGTGTCTGAAATGAGAGTAAGAATCTAAATTATCTGTGTATATAGTGAGGTTCTGCATGTTCTATTTAGACTATCCTATCTCTCTCTTTACAAAAAAAGGTATGCACAGTTTACAACATTGTTCCCACAGACAACCTGTGCAGCAATGGTAGCTATATTTTTTGCCATTGTGTTGAGGTGGTGGACTAGGGAATCACTTCCCCCAATCTAACTGCAAGAAAGCAAACCTAGAATAAAGAATGTGTTTGGTACACCTACAAAATAGGTCTGTTGCATGCCCCCAGGAAATGTGGGTATCACAACAGCTCCACTCTGATCAGGGTGCATGCTTCTCCTCTCCTGTGAAAACTCTTTTACATTTTTATAATTCCATGCTATTTTGTTTAATCTTTTTGGCAGATTACTGTGGTAGCTGACACTTTCAAAGATTACAAGCTAAGCCAGACTCCCTGCTCAATCTTTGAGCCCCATGTCACTGTAACTAAGCCCTTTATAGTTTAATTATAAATCTTCTGTACTTGAGGTGGAGTGTTGAAAGGTGTAGAGTCAGTGGTTATGTGATAGAAACATACACGCAGAACCGTTCTACCTTTATTGAACACTTAACCAGCAGCGGATATAATAAATAATACCAATTAGAATATAACAAGTGGAAAAATCATTTTTTACACACCAAATATGCACAAAGTCACATGATACCATCCCTATATCTTCGTCTCATATTAAACTTTGATTATGAACAATAAAACAAAGATATAGGGATGGTGTCATGTGGATTTGTGCATATTTGGTGTGTAATGACCCCTTGTTTCTTCCTTTTTTGTGCTTCAAGCCATCCCTATATCCCTCTTCATTTTGAAATGATTTTTCCACTTGTTTCCACTATTTTTGTAGCAGCAAATGGTGTTGTTCAGTGATTACGAGGAAGAGCTCAGCGATCGACCATAGTAACTTACGGCAAGAAACAGAAGCGTCTACCTTTATTGAACACTTAACCAGCAGCGGATATAATAAATAATACCAATTAGAATATAACAAGTGGAAAAATCATTTTTTACACAGCAAATATGCACAAAGTCACATGACACCATCCCTATATCTTCGTCTCATATTAAACTTTGATTATGAACAATAAAACAAAGATATAGGGAGGGTGTCATGTGGATTTGTGCATATTTGGTGTGTAATGACCCCTTGTTTCTTCCTTTTTTGTGCTTCAAGCCATCCCTATATCCCTCTTCATTTTGAAATGATTTTTCCACTTGTTTCCACTATTTTTGTAGCAGCAAATGGTGTTGTTCAGTGATTACGAGGAAGAGCTCAGCGATCGACCATAGTAACTTACGGCAAGAAACAAACGATCGCTTGGTACGTGTGCACACCTCCGGCAAATTCGGAGACGTTCTGTGAAACAATTAACGCTTTATGTGCTTCCGGTAAGGAGCTAGCGGGTCTGAAGAAGAAGATGAATAATATGATGATGATGACACGAAAATCGTAAAATCGCGTATGAGCGAATTCTCGCGTGGACGACTGAAGGTGCGTATGAGGTCTTGGGGGACATGTATAGGTAGATATGGGCCCGTAGACTATTGCTAATATGTTTTGAAGGCCTAGGGAGTGATTCTCACCGAGTTTTTAGACGTTTTGTACGCGGATCACGTGCGATTTCACCCGCGTCATCCCTATATTATAGAGAGCCTACCGACTCTCTAAATAAATATTGCGCGATGACTGAGAGTAAGATCAAGGGAATTGCAGCTAGTCCAAACAGCTTGAGAGCGCTTGCTGCTCGGTGTATATATGGCAGTTAGAACATAAAGTGGCCATACAATTTCCCCATACTTTAGCTGCATGTCAACCTATTTGCATAAATCACAGTGGGTGTATGGTAGTTAGAAGACAGTAGGAAATTGGCAGCGTGGAAAGCAATTTGGGGCTTTTATACTCTGTGTGCTGCTGTTTGTTTGCCAGAAGGGAGTATTTTTACGTTAATGGCAGTGGGTAGAAGGCTTTGCCTGTGGTCTACTGGTTACACACTTGTGGCTTCAGTTTTGATAGACCACTCGGGCTACAGCCTCCTGCCCTATCAAAAGTTGCCCGTAAAACCAGTAAACCACGTGCTACCATCATCAAACATATGCTTATACGGTGTTAAATATGATTTATACATCAATTTCTGCTTCAAATTAACGTAACATGTAGCTAACCTACTACAATATCATACAATTGAAAAACATGTTTGGTCGAGCCCTTGGAATCCGGTACCCATGCGGCTTTCTGGCATGGGTTTGTTTATTGCCGAAGTCATAAGCACGAAACTCACAATATTTGGCTCGGCTACGGCATCATAAATCTCTGGAAACTCAGCCAGAACTGGAGCCACATTGTAGAGAGCCACAGCTGCCAACTCATTTGCCGTGCAGTTGTAATCCACGGAGGTGTGGCCTTCTGCCCACCACCCCTCCACGTACCAGTTAGGAGTCAAAAACAAGTACTTTGGAGGAAGAATTCCACTTTTGTATGCCTGCAATAAAATATATTGTAGCTAACTACAAAAAGACACAAACGAAGGATGGAGCTTACCTTACAGAATAATTCTCTGGCATTGATGCTATACATTTCCACAACATATATACGGACCCCGGCATCCTGTTTGATACATACATTCACTAAAAAATCATGAACTGCGTTGATTAACATTCCTTAGCTAGTGACTCACAAATATACTGATGTTGCTGACACTCTCCTCAGACCTAAAGTACCACTCAATGTACTCAGTATCTCCATTTTCAGTTAGGAGCCTTTTCAAAACATCTGACGTCTGAACAAAAGGAATGATGTGAGTACAGCATAGTATTCTTCCCAAACAAACAAGAAACAGAACACACAAAGAGTGATACTGTGTGAGACGAACAAACACCCGAGAAGTGAGATTGAGAGTAACAGACAGACTGACAGACACACACACAGACAAACCCAACTACTGTAACCCTCACTGCACATGCGCGCCGAGGGTTAACAATAAACTGAACACACAAACAGTGATACTGAGAGGAAAAACTCAAAAGTACTCAAAAAGGGGGTCGGTTGGGGTGAAGAGTGAAAGTGAAAGAATGGGAGAGAAGAGAATGGAGGTTTGTGTCCCTCACTTTTTATCACTCTGATGTAACCATCACATTATACTTGTAAGTTGTTTGTACTTTCTTCGAAATGTATTTAATGAGGCGTGTCAATATAATTATTATTCCACACTCAAACACATAATAATGGAGGTGTTCTGAATTCGAGGCATTCAATTAGTTCTGCTAGCTAATCACAAGCATTCTTTTCATGTGATGACTACAATAAAACACTTACTGCAATAAACTAATTTTCTCCTTGAGTAATGATTCCGACTCTTTTCCAACCAAAATACTGAATGATCGAGTAGAACCCATAGGCTGTTGGTGCTTCAGTTGAGAGTAGCTGAAAGTAGTATATACCTGTGATTTTTATCAGGGGATTGTTTTTTTTAAAGTGTACACAAATGAAAGGAGAACCTGAATCGCTGTCGGTTGTGAAGGTCTGGAGAGGAACTTACACAGGATACCTGAGGTCATAGATAATATGCACTCTTAAGCAAAATTTTCTTGAGAATCAAATGACCAGACCTGAGCAATATTGTGGTATTGAGTCAGCTCGGCAGTGGGCTCTGTGGCTGGGGAACAGCCTGACCCCACCCACCCTACCTTAGTAGGAGGATTTGTGATCTGAGTAAAGTAGGACCTGATGGCCGTGGAGCGGTCACACTGCAGTGTGGAGAAAGAGCAAATGTTCGAGTTTGGGAGAACCAGTATGGACTTAGAATGGAGCAAAGAAATATACCTGCATTGTTATGCTATCATCACGATCTTCCTCACATAGCTAGATAACTTGACAATGGGTAGTTTTAGAATGTTAGATGTTTTTATAGCTTAAATGGAGGTTGAGCTTCCTCACATAGCTAGATAACTTGACAATGGGTAGTTTTAGAATGTTAGATGTTTTTATAGCTTAAATGGAGGTTGAGCTTCCTCACATAGCTAGATAACTTGACAATGGGTAGTTTTAGAATGTTAAATGTTTTTATAGCTTAAATGGAGGTTGAGCTTCCTCACATAGCTAGATAACTTGACAATGGGTAGTTGGAGAATGTTTGAGCTGTTAGCACTGTGGTTTTCCACAAAAGCTGGACTGTGGACTACGATGGACAGGACTTTGGACTGCCTTTGTACAGAAAAGTTGAGCATAATGGTAGTGGGATACTCTTGATGTCCCTATATATCTCATCAGGGTTGAGGCCAGTCTTGGCCATTCGTCAGAGAAAAGGTGCTGGCTATGTTGCCAGTCTAACTGGCCCAGGTCACCATGTCTTGCACTGACTACGCCTGATGCAGTTCAAAACCTGGCCAAGACCCACCATAACACTGCAGCCATCTGGCGGGGTTATTGTGTAGAGAAAAAGTGTCATATGTGACTATTCATCGCTTTGAATGAAGCTAGGTACTAGGCTAGGACTACTCCTTGCAACACTGAAGATGACTCCACTGACTGCTAAAAGCCATCCTGACTAAAACGACCAGCTTCAAGGCAGCACTGGACTTATGTTATTAAGCAAACTCTTCATATATAAGCCAGTCGATAGTCCAGCCTGTGGTCTCTTCCAGAGTTCAGAGTCAGCTTTTGTAGTGTCTCTGCACTGTATAATGTTGGAGAACTGCCTGTGTCTGACTAGTTTTTATAGTGTAATGAACATGGAAATAAAAGGAATTAATCCATAGGGGAGAACAGGGGCGTAGCTAGCATTGAGGCAGAGGAGGCAGTTGCCTCCTCTGTTTTTGCCGACTTATGAATATTTTATTATGCAGAATAACCACAGCAGCTGTGCTGCTGAGCGCTAGAATACAGCTCGGCTAAGGCGCCTCTGTTGGAGTTGTATGACGGATAGCGTCTTGACCAGATAGCACTAGGTTACATCAACCAAGAACAGACATCTCCTCAAGAATCTTACAAGCCTGGGATCGCTCTGAGCATCGCCGTATTGCTCTGCCCGCCTTCCGCAATCAAACACTGACATTGCGCAACATCATTGCGCACACAATTTGCCTCTGCTAAAAGATTCTGTACGCCCCGGGAGAACCGTGTGTGCAATGTCTTGCACTCTAAACAGACAACAAAGCATTATCTTACAAAGTAGTTTCTAGATACATTTGTTGACTGGCCGTCATTGGATGGGCTTCGTGCTGTAGGTGCCCGTGGTTATTTCTTGCGCGAGGCTCTCGCTGGTTTCAAGGGACTGCTACTATATAGCTGCTCTACTTCATGTAGCTATAAACGTCCTCGAAGTAGCTAGCTAAGCAGCAAAGAATTTAGCGAAGTATACAGCAAAGAAATGAGCTAGTTACGTACATACTCAGTGTGTCGAACCTGGGAGTCGGTGAGGGTGTAGTGAAGACTGTATCCAGGGAGGATGGAGGGTTCACTGTTGATGTAGTCCAGTGCTATCTGGATTCCCGGCAGTGCTCCGACGCTCTTGTAGCTGCTCCCACCAAAAGAAAGTACTACTGCAAAATACAGCGGTGTCCGGCCATCCGTATCGTTCACTGGGGGATATATCTGGTGGTAGGGCTCCTGGCTCTCTTGAGCCAAGGTAACGCTACTCGCAGCAAATGCGAGAAAGAGTTGTAGCCAACACATCAGGTCCATCTGACATGTATTCTGCTCACGACAACGATATCGATATACGCAGGTGCTTTTACGCAGCTACCCAAAACTATCGTCGGTCAACAGAGAAAACGTTTGCCTTAGCCTTAAATAAGCCTAACACCTTCCATCCGTAACCTTGTTTGTTGAGTAAACTAGCATGGCTGAGTGCCATGTGTGTGTCCCACCCCATCAGCTCTGGAATGTTGGGGGAAAATGATTGGTAGCTAAGCTTTCCAAACCACTCAGAGCACTATCATTATACGTTCCTACAGTTTTCCACGCTAGCAATGAGATTTCGGTGTAGCTACCCGCAACCTCCTCGTTAGGAGAGTGGGGTTGCTTGACTATTTCTTTCTATTATTGTGTGTGCATGAAAATCACAAATTGCTCTTCCCCAGGTCACTAGAGTGAACCAGCTTGGCCAGAAAACCTTGGTAGTCAAGTAAAACTTCATCGTAAGGCCAAAACATGTACATAGAAATAAGTTGTGATGTGATAGAGCCGTAGCTAGGCAGGTGAACCATTACTGATACAAGAATGCATAATTACTATAATTATCTTGTAGGCTGTTACATTCTCTTCATGCCTCCATAATTAGTGAATTAGATTCCTCGAGTACCTGACATGATGATAATCTATTGCCTTGATGTTCGGCCATGCCCATGCTCGATTTTCTGCGGTGGGCCTGCTACGTAAATGTCAGATCTCTCAGGTCCTCTATCTAACATGAGGTTCAATAATAATTATGCTGAGCAAACCTAATGTTAAACAGTAGAAATAATAGAGCTGCCATGCATGTGGCCCTGGAGACAAACTTGTCGAAATCTTCTTTAAAGTGTATTTTCAATGCCATTTTAATTTGCATACATCATAGTAACCTTTCAGTAAAGTTTTTATTATTCAGATTGCTATAATTATAATCTTCTATATAAGTAGTGACACTCTCTGCTATGTAAACTTGTTGTATATAATTATGAATCAACCGAAATGCAGAAAGGTTTCCCGGATCTTAGCCGCCACATGTAGCATAATTTGCTAATGAACAAATCCTGAGAATTTGGTTGAAGAGTGGGTCCATGATGACCTGAAACAACAGTGGTGATAAAACTGAGCCCTGTCTGACACCTCTTCCCAGGGAGAAAGCTGCTAAAAACTCCCTACCAAACCTTCACCATGCCCTGTGGTGATTGGTACCATGCACGAACGAGTCTCCAGAGCTTGGCATTAATACCAGCATCAAAGAGACGACACAGTAGGACACCATACTCAACTGAGTCAAATGCCTTTTGTGTAGATCATAACAACAGGTAAGTTGTCTCAGACTCGTGAAGGTAGTGTGAAGGCACTTCTGTGGTGGTGAAAACGGCATCAGTGCAGGAAACATGCTTACGATACCCAGTTTGATTGATATTTGGAATATTCAGATCTTCGAATACTGGAAGTAACCTGCCAAGTATGAGCGTCTCCAGCAGTTTGGACAGCGCAGGTGTCACAGAAGTTCCTCTGTAGCTTCCTCTCTCTAGAGGATCTTTGCCACCACCTTTGTACACAGGGCTGATTGCTGCAATATTAAGCGTGTGAGGAATTTCTTCTCGCTGAATAATTGCATTGAAAATTTGGAGTAGCCAAACTTTGAGAGCGTGGCCACCATTTATTTCAGGTGTTCTATTGATGTTATACCGCTCAAGTCGGCAGCTCTCGTAGGTTTCAATTTTCTGATAGCAGATTCTCTGGAGCGTCCAGAGCAACCTCTTCATTTGCATAAGTTAGCTCTAGTAAGTGTTTTGCTCTATCATTTGCAGCTTTTACAGTATCGTTTTCGTCCCTCGCTTTTCCTAGCATTTCAAAGTGACCCCTCCAAGCCTGAAGCACAGCAGGCGGATCAGAAACAATGTCACCAGACACACGAATTTTTGATCCGCACTTATTGGACTTGGAAGTTCTGAATCGGGATGGACACTTGTTTCTGAAATCACGATCGATTTTCTCAATTCTCTTCCTTTCTTCATTTGCTTTGCATATTTTTATTCTTTTCCTTACTTCATTGCGTAGAGCCTTCTTTCGCTCATGGAGAACACCCTCCCTGGGGCACCCAGCCTCCTTCCATTTATTCCAGGCTTCCTTTTTCTGCTTGCATAAGTTTGGAGAGTGTGGAATCTTTATACCACTTATTCTGTTTCTTTGCTGGCTTTTGCAGTGGCAAAGTAGATAATGCAGCCTCCTGTATCGACCTTGAAATAGATATTATATGGTCATTTATTTCTTCAACATTGTTATATAGCTATATATGAGGCCCCAAGGACTTTTGTGACTGCTTGGGAGATGCGTTCTTGATAATTATATATCCGATGCTTCTTTCATGAAAGGCGTCACTACAAAGAAACTAATATGAAGACCTTTTAGCTTACCCCGGCGAGAGCGAGTCTCGCGGAAGACGACGGACTCGGACGCAAGCATCGGCCTCCGTCTAAACTGCTTGTCAATGGATTTAGACGGCGTCGTATATGTACTTCCGCGCACACGCGTTTCATATTCGCTAAGGGTTTGTGCTTTTGATCATCAAAAAGCAAAATAGTATAGGCGTCGCTGCCCTACGGGATCGCGCCGGCCGGCCGTTTGTACGCGTTTTTCCCTGTACGCTTTCTCTAGCGTCTTCCTAGCTCTCTAGTAGTCATGCGCTGCAGCTAGAAGGGCCTGTTCCTGGTTTCTTCGTGGGAAGAACCGCTCCAGAAGCTCGGTTCACTGTCCGCGCGCGTGGCGTCTTTTCGAATTGAAGGCGTGGTTGCCGGGGCTACGAATAGTTACCGCGGAAGAGGTCACTAACAAAAAATAGTCACCGCTAAACTCGCAATCTGATTGGTCAATTGCGTGTTACCGTAGTCTAAAGTCATGATATTCATGTAATGTGGATGTAAAAAGCAATAATATCATGTTTCTATGAGAGAGCACACTCGTAGCATTTCCTCCATGAACTGATCCCTATATTTCAGCGCTGTATTGTCAATGACTCCTTCACCATAGATGTACATTTTTGGCACGGGAACACGATAATGAGCCATTAGTCCCACATTCATAGGTACTCTATAAGTCTTGGTATAACCTCTGAGAGTTGGCTTGCATATATCGTGAATGCAGAGAGCTGACAGTGCCTCTGGCTTGACAATAATCTTCATTTTCGTGTTCTGTTTGAAGTCCGGCCAGGGCAAACGTCGCAGCCTCACAAAATACTTACGCATATTCATGTACGGACAGGAGTTATTACCATCCATTGTGGTATTAGGAGCAAGTTCTGCTATAAAGTTATTCGAAAACGTGTAACTGGCATATTTCCCCTTCTTCTCCAAAATGTTTAACATGTCTATCCAATTGTCACTTGAAACAGGGTATATGACCTCATCAAGATCGCTAAACACGACATATTTCACCCTCCTCATGTTTCTGTACAGACAGTCATTCAGCAGAACACGCTGACCACCATAGTGCAGCTTTCCGTAAAGATTCTCCCACTGTATCATGTCTATGAATCCAGGATACAACTTCATGATTTGCTCCAGTAGTTCGTACCTGACATTGGCATTGTAGATTGTGACAATCTTAGCACCGAGGACCTTTACCATGGCTAGGAAATCAACCATCGAATCAAATATCTTCTCATTGGTTAGCTCTGCACCAGTAAAGAGAGCTCCCATGACACACACACCAATGCTGTCTCTCTCCCCAATCTCTCTGTTCCACACTGGAATCGGAGAACTCCATTCTCCTCCACACACTCCACTTCCACTAAGAAGCACATGTGTAGGGACCCTTTCACCAGAACGCATTGTACAGAAGTAGGATTCAGGCCAGACATTTGGAGCAATGAGTGGAGTATGAACCAGATTCCCAGCACACTTTGTACTGTTGTCTTCGTATACGAACTTGCAGTGGATTTTATCGTGAGTTCGTTCAGAAACATAGCCAAACATGACAATGGCCGGTCTGTTAGACAACTGTCTTGAATCGTAATAGGCAGAGTAGATGTGGTGTGTGGTTCTATCAGGACCCCTGCTGATCACCACATTTGAAAGTTTGTGAACAACATCTAGTGAGGTCTCTTGAGTAGTTTTGACTGTCTTAATGAATAGAGAACTGTAGTAATTTAAAGTAGGATCAGCAGCGGTTACGATTTCATCATTCCTTTGACTAGTTGTAGAAACATTTCCTTTGCTGAGAGTCGTAGAGTGACTCTTAGAGAATCCACTACTTCCGCGTAAATCAATAGTTCCATAAAGATCTAATAGAGTAGTTTTCCAAAAAGTATCCTTAAGAAACAATATGCCACAAGTTAGTAAAACTAGGAACAGCAGAACTTTGTACTTGCTATATGAGGTCATCTGTATGATGAAAAAAATGTAATACACATGCGTACCAAGTTTTAAAAAAAGTGGCATAATTATTATAGGGATGGTACACTCACCATTAGTAGTATATAAAAATGAGTGGAGACAAGTAAATGTTGTTACAAAGAAATAAGTATGACCAGTCTCTTCGGGTGATGGATATTCTTACAAATTTCAACTTTATGTTATTTCGTTTTTGAGTTATAGGTGTGAATCTGAAGAAGGAGAGAAGAAGAAGAGAAGATGAACAAACTCCCTATCATAGCCCATACATCTATGATGCTAGGTATATACCATGCCAAAATCCGATATACTAAGTACTACCGTACCTACTAAGTGATATAGGGATGACACAGGTTGTCCTGCATTTGCCCTTCATTGAGATTTCAGTTTCATCAATCAGTTTTTGCCACATTCCGTCCTTTCTGTCTCTTTCCCCATTCCCGAATTTGGGTAACTAGCTCTATGTGCTTGTGTGGTTATATGGTTATTTTTTTATTATACCGCCTGTCGCTGTCTCGCTTCGCTTTTTAAATCTCTTGCATTCAGGTTATTAGGGCTTTATGGGTTGTTGTTCTTTGTACTATTTTCGCGATGTTATACGTCGTGACTTTACCTGTAAGTGCTAAACCTGGTATGATTCTAGCCCCTCCGCTTTTTATTTCCGT